GCCAACCATCCATCCACACCAACCCACCATCCATGCATCCAGCCCTCCATCCATCATCCATCGCGCCCGGCTCGGTTTTTCCTGAAGGACTTGAGCGTGACCCTGTTCATGTTGCTTAAAATCTAACACCGCAAGCCGCACTCATGTTTGGGGTAGGTCCTTTGTTGGGTCTTGGGGTTCATTGGTCTGGTGAGAATCTTGCGCAACAATTCTCAAATATTGTCAACTGATACATTTGGAGCCAATCAACATCGACATGCAGATTTTGGTCGGTACGTACTCATCTCAACCATGTAGACTCTGGAAATGTTTGAGCGAACACAGACATCTCCATTCCTGAGAATGTCTGCGTGGGGGTGAGCCAGTGAGAACTTCACATGAGCACTCTGACAAATGATCGGTTTTTCGGTTGAAGGGTCACCATGGCACCATACATATGTATTTGTCTACACATACATATGTCGCATATACAATGTACACGTGCGGCTCAGTAGTGGGGTATTGCAAGCATGTAAGTAGGACCTGGGACATTCTCCCTGCACTGCTTTGGCACCCAGCCACAGACTGTACGAGTGCCAAGCAGCAAGGAGACCGAGGCGCTCCAACACTTGGTGTGGCTGCGGAGCACCCTTCATCTCCATAACGTCCATCAGCTGAACAAAGAATACAAAATATGCCCGAAAAAACATGGGCATGCGCGGTGCTTGGGTGGCATGAGTTTTTAGTGGGGAAGTTATGTGGGCCCCCCGGTTCCTCAAGAATAGATTGACAGGGATGTCGGCTGCTCATCTAGTGAGCAAGCCTCCAAACCAAGCCATGCAACCGACCGTATCAGAAAGGTCCTGGATTGAACATTTGAAGCGTCAAAGCATCACCTTCTTCCAATGAGGATCCTGTAAATCATCCAACATTGGAAGCGACTTGCAATCTTGTCAAGGCTAACACCTCGAACGAAGAAACCCGAGGCCGACTCACCAGAAACAGCGAGAAGACGAGCGGTTTGTGCCCACGGAAATTCACCCAGGGGACAGGCCTCCAATGGATCTGATGTTGACTAGGCCCTCCAGTAGAGAGGTTAGAATAAGGCTACCAATCTTTTTCTGTAGTCTACTTTAGTAGACGAAAACCCTCCCAACCAAAAAAGGGATGAGGAAGGGAACCTGGCTGGGGAACCTAGTTGACAGTTCGACCCTGTGCCGCCGCGAGAGCCTTGGCTGGGTGGAAAATGAGGGTTGATGGGAAAAATCGCATACCCGGCAACCTCCTTAGGCCAGGATCTCTTGGTGAGATTGCAAGACATAAGTTGCTCTGTGCCCTGTAAGTTCAGCGATCTGGCGAGCGTAAACCCTCCCTTCACCAGCCAATACACCAACAAAAACCGTTTCCTCACGTCCTGGGCGGATGGGCCCAAGAGGAACAACACTTTTGGTCTAAGCCACTACACTTGGTTGCTCTTGACCCCCCTGCAAGAAGTTTAACTTTTGGGGGTTTAGTGGAAAACACCTTTATTTCCCAAAAAGTTAAAGTCTAAAGATCCCACCCAATAGCAGTCAAGTACAATGGTCCACACTCCCGAAACTGAACAAAGGGGAGCAAGTTTCACTCAAAGCGCCCTGGCGCCTTGACCACGTACATGGGATACCTCTTCACCAGCTTTGACTCCAGCAAAGAGGCCCGGCGCCGGTGCACCAAGGACATGCTCATGGAGCCCAGCCCAACCTCCATGGCGGCCCTGTAATTCTCGATGTTCTTTACGCCGAGCTTGAACTAATACTGGAGCCAGGAGCGTGTGTGGGCAAAAGACTCAAGCGAATGGGAGAGGCAAGGGGACCAAGGAATGGGATGTGATTCAGACACTTCCATTTGCTAAAGTAACAATTGTTTCAGGAGTGACAGATTCCCTTTAAAACCAACAGAGAAAATACACAATTGTCTTAAGCAATCACATGGTTGGGAGCCTTTTGGTGTCAAAAGTTGGTCTTCCCACAATTGACACGCACCAGTACTTCCCAAACTCTGCAAGGCGAGCGCTTCAAGAGAGTGCAACAAAGAACTTGCTCTTTCTGAAGCGATCACATTTTGGAGTCTGGCTCCGAGATCCAGCCTTTTTCTCCTTGAGGCACCAGGCTTTTGGGCCTCGTCTTAAGGCACCCACCCCCCGAACTCCGAACGGCGCAGGCCTGGGACGCCAGCACGCAGAGCCTTGAGGCGCTCAGAAGCCGAGGCCTGGTGAAGGTGCCGTTGGGAAGTGCCGTTGGCTTGGTGCGAGAGGGGTGGAAGGGAATGTATCCGGACATTCCCTGAAAGGAAACCTGGGGAGTCGCTAGGAGACCTGATTCAAAGGAAAGGAAACCATAAAGGATGGGTTGCAGGGTGCATTCCATTCCCATAAAGGATGGGTTGCAGGGTGCATTCCCTGATCGCACCAGCAAGTTCAGAGGCACGCTTAACTGGAGCTGTTACTCTCACGAACGAGTGGACTGGCCCCAAAAAAATAAGA